ATATAATCTAAGCGATCGTTGAAGAGTTGTGAGAGGATAGAAGTGGGGCTCGAGGGGAGGGTTGTTTGGGATGAGAAGGAGATAATAAATATACAATGTTATTTATGAAAGAAAAAAAGAAGGTAGATTTACCTTTACAATTAGAAATGTGAAAATATATGTTTGATCCGCTTAATTGGATGAAAATTTTAAATAAGATCATGCATTTTAAGACAATTATAAATTTTGAAATACAGTGGTCTCGACAAATAAAAGCAAGATAACGAGCAGTGACATGAAATACATGTCATGGTGGACATATGCCTACCGAATTTCGAATCAAATCTTCTTCTGTTTTCTTTTTTATAAATTTCCCATTTGTCACTCAACGATGAAAAGGTGAAACTGACATTAAATCCTTTTATTCCAAAGTCTCACTTGCGACGGTGTTAAGATCACATCCATTTTGAAAATGTACACTATACAAATAAAAGTGTCAAACAAGAATCGTTATGTTTCGTCCGTTTATATGTTCCTAAGCCAACTTGGAGAATAATATCTAGGAATATCATGGTGTATAAGTAATGACTATCAGATAAATGGGTTTTAATATCCAACAATAAAAGGCTTAAGTAATTTAATGTCGTCTTTTAAAAGTTGTTTGAATAAATCAGTCAATTTACAATCATTTTAAATTTATTTATTTGTTGCTCCTCGCAACAAATAAGCATGAACCATTTAATGACGTATGTACCCGAATAGTCCAAAGTACCGATAGTTAGTTCTTAACCTTTCGATCAGAAAACAATGTTAATAAAGACGTATAGATATACTATTTTGTTGTAGGGAGTATTGTAAGTTTCCAAGTAAATCTATTATATGTAAGCACATTTTAATTTTATTCATACACGTTATTTTTATATGGTGGACCATTGTAGTTATGAAGTCAAAAAATAATGAGCGGAAAGTCCAAGTTTGAACGTGTTTATATTCCAAAATAAATATAGCGGCAATTGTACAATTCTTAACTCTATATTCTTCAACGACTTTAGCTTATACGCCACTTAAATTTATATCATGAATTATAATTATTATTCTAGAGACTTCTCACCAGGATGCTTTTGCTTTTCTTCCTTTTTCTTGGACAAATTTATAATAAACTTATGAATTGTTATAATTGCTTACGTAGTTCCTGAAGTAGATCTAATTAATTTAAATTTTGTTCCATGTTGACTACGTGGGCTGACACGATACTTTAATAATTTGCTTTGAACATAATTACAATTTAGCAAATAGTCAAATTTAGAGAAACGTCCAAGGGTAATATTTTACCAGCTGATTAGAAGTATTTATTCCTAAGATGTTTGAAATCGATTGATCACCATTTGTGAATAAGGGTTCCTTTAATATATGGCCTAAATTAAATTAGTTTTACAAGGAAAATTTTGATTCAAAATCATACTATACTGAGATACGTGACTGGTCATAAAAAGTTGGTGGCGTAAAATTTTACACAATATGCAGTAATTTATGTGTGTGACGTTTTATAAGTGTAGTTTCTAGATGTCATGAGTCATGACTTTTGCTCTAAAGGAAGAAACAAAATTACTCTAGGAAAATATAAGGGGAACTTTCACATATAGCCACTCAAAAATAGCCTAATTACTCTCCATAGCTATAGTTTGATAATTACAATTCGTAGCTACATGTTATATGGAGGAGAGAGGCGAGCGAGACTGGGAGAGAGAGGAGAGAGGCGAGAGAGAGGGGGCAAAGAGTGGGGAAAAGTGAATTGTATATGTATATAGGTTAGATAATTGTATATTATACATATGTATTGTATATATGGCAAGCGAGTTGGGAGAGAGAGGAGAGAGGCGAGAGAGAGGGGGCAAAGAGTGGGGAAAAAGTGAATTGTATATGTATATAGGTTAGATAATTGTATATTATACATATGTATTTGTATATATATCAAGTGAGATTGGGAGAGGGAGGAGAGAGGCGAGCGAGAGAGGAAAGAGGGTGGGAGAGAGGTGAATTGTATATGTATATAGGTTAGATAATTGTATATTATACATATGTATTTGTATATTCTAGCGAATTATACATATACAAACGTGGCAAATTATACAAACTCAAAGTCAGCCCGCGTAATTAATGTATAATGTTAGTCGTGAGGGGTAATTATAGCAAACTATGGCTATGATGAGTAATTAAGTAGTATAAGTTTGCTTAACCGCGTAATTTTCCCAAAATATAATATATTATTGATATGCTATTTATTATCTAAATTCTTTTTAGTCCATAAAAATTGGGATAATATCTAGCTAAATTGACATATGATAAATTATGTTAAAAGATATTTTTATTTAAATACATATTTTTTAGGGGAACTTTCGCAAATAGTCACTATAATAAACTTAATTATGTTTTATAGCTATAGTTTGCATATTTACTGCTGTAGCTACAGTTTAAGCTGACTCGTTTGTATAATTCGCTGGTACATTTGCATAATTCAATTATTTTTGTATAAATTTGAAATAATGAATTTATACAATTACAAACATCAAAAGTGTAAACAGTTATACAAATTATATTATACAAATTCCAAATTATACAAAAAGTTATATAAATTATAATATGCAAATTCCAATTATACAAACGTGCGAATTATACAAAATTAAAAAGTTAAGCTCCGTAATTATAGCTAAAAGTAGGTCGCGGATTATAATTAAGACAAACTATAGCTATGTTAAGTAATTAACTAGTATATGTTTACTTATACACGTAATTTGAACTTTCGCATATAGCCACTCAAAATTGTCTAATTACTCTCCATAGCCACAAATTATATTATACAAATTCCGAATTATATAAAACTAAAAAAGCTAAGCCACGTAACTATAGCTAAAAGTAGGCCGCGAATTGTAATTAAAGCAAATTATAACTATGTTAACTAATTAACTAGTAAATGTTTGCTTATACGCGTAATTTTCCCTATTTTTTATTTGATATATTATATATAGTCATAAAAAAGTAAATAAGATAATTAAAGTGTAGCAAGACTTGAGTGAATTGAGTTATAACAATATTTTAGCATAACTCATTTTAACCTTAATAACTCTTAAGCAAATCGGTATAGCATGGATGAAATTGAGGTTCACATTTGGAGTTTTGTGCAATAAGAAGGTGCCACTAACTTAAAAGCAAGTACTATAGAGTAGTAGCTAGATTAATTATGCTATATGGTGTACATTGTTGGCCAATCAAGAACTCTCACGTTCTGAAATTAAAAGTTGCACAAATAAAGATGTTGCGATGGATATGTGGGTATACTAGGAAAGATATAATTGAAAATGAAGGTATTCAAAAAACAAATTAAATTTCTTTGGTGAAGGACAAGATGCGGAAAGCGAAATTAAGATGGTTCAGACATATAAAGAGAAAAAGTATGGATGCGCAATCTGGAACTATAGAGGTTGGCTATGAATAGTTAGAAAGAGGTTGTGGAGAACATGTATGTAGTTGTAGTATTTCTCAGACAATTATCCGTCGTTTGATTTCTATTACTATGTATCTTTTGTGTTTTGTACTTCGATTATTACTTTATTTTGTTGTAGTTACTGTCATATCTCTATCTAATGTTTTGTTACTATCTAATATTTGTGTTCTTTTGTTACTTTTTTGGGATTATTTTTTCTTGAGTCAAGGGTGTACCTGAAACTGTTTTTTTTTTACTTTTGATGTAGAAATAAGGTGTGTGTATATTCTATTCTTCCCAAACTCTACTATATGAATTATAGTGAGTATGTTATTGTTGTTGTAACATTTAAGCGACTTAACAAATTATTAATTTATTAATTTAATTTATTTTAAGTCATTCAAATTCAGTTCAACTAACTCATTTGATAGGTAGAATGTACTAAAATGTCTTTTAATCTTATAATTTTAAAATAACACGTGGAAATTAAAATTAAATATGAACATTATTTTAAAACGGATTAAAAAAGTGTTGTGTTCGAAAGTGATTATACGTCATGCAGAAACTTACAATTACAAATCATATGATTGATAAATAAGATACAAAAAAAAAACATACTAAAAACATATTTTGGCCAAGCTACCTACATATTCTTAGCTAATATTGAAAATAGCATAAATATATTTGGAGAAAATCTCTCCATAAACAAGATTCTGAAAATATTATATTATGGATGCTATTATTTTTTTTATATGAGAATAAATCAAATATGGAAAAGAATTATATTTTTCTTCAAGCAATTTATGATAATACTTTGAATTTTTTTAAGGAAAAAATAAAACTCAAAATTAAAGCAAAAATCCCAAGAAAAGAAAAATAAGACATATAATTGAATCAGAGAAAACAAATATACCAATTAAGCAATTTATTCATGAAGCTGCCTTTTTCAATTCTTTCTGCCAAGTAGGATCCTTCTGCACCATCCACCTCCACCCACCCACCATTTTTATTTTAATACCCTCACGAATCGAACAACAGTTCATTTCATTTTCTTTGATATTCAAAATTATAAAGCACAACACATATTAACTTCGCCGGTCCAGTCCATAATTTATTTAGTATGAGATATGGGAAATTCTATGAAGCAAGAATCTCCTGTTCTTAGTTATCTTCTCTTTGTGTTTCTCTTCACATGTTCTTCTTTAATTGACAAATCAGGGGCACAACCACCAACTACTGGAAACGAGTTTCAATATGCAAGGCTTAGTCCCCCTTTGGCAATTATCATAATTGTTCTTATTGCTGCGCTTTTTTTCATGGCTGCTTTTTCTATTTACATTCGACACTGCACTCAGCCTTCTGGCATGAGCGGCAGCGTCCGACGAGCTCTATCCATGCGCCGCCGTGCTGCGGTGGCTCGTGGACTAGATGCAACGGTTATTGAGACTTTTCCGACTTTTACTTATGCTGAAGTGAAGGATCATCAAATTGGTAAAGGAGCTTTGGAGTGTGCTGTTTGTTTGAATGAATTTGAAGATGATGAAACGCTGCGTTTAATTCCAAAGTGTGATCACGTTTTTCATCCCGAGTGTATTGATGCTTGGTTGGAATCACATGATACTTGCCCTGTTTGCCGTGCTGATCTCAACCCCCAACCGGATGAACCGCCGGTTCAAGTTCCTCAGTTGATCCCAGATGAACCGGGAACTGAACAGCAACAGCAAAACGATGAAGTTTCAATTCGCATAGCGAGCGACGACGAACAAAGTGAACAAGTACAGCAACAGCAACAAGAAGAAGGTTCTGTTAAATCGACAGTGAAGCGGAATTTGAGCTTCAACGTGCCGAACCGGGTTCCCAAGCAAGAAGAAGGCGGCTCAATTAAATCAGGAGTGAAGAGAAACTTGAGTTTCAACGTGCCGATTCAACCACCGAGATCAATTTCCATGAGGCCAAGGATATTCAGCAAATTCAGATCACACTCGACCGGTCATTCACTAGTACTACCAGGTGAGAATTTAGACCGGTACACTCTCAGATTGCCGGAGGGAGTTCGGAAAGAGGTAATGAACCGTGCACTATTGAACCGGGCTAAAAGCTTTGGAGGCACCTTACCAAGAGATACAAGCTCCAGAAAAGGATACAGAACCGGCACCGGAGATGGAAGCAACAGGGGTTCTAGATCTAACAAAAGGATGGAGTGGTCTGAACCGGAACCTAAATCGGACCGGTGGATTTTCACCATGGCACCACCATTCTTTTCAAGAGGCTCATCAATGAAATCACCCAGAGTTGGAGCTGAAGCCGGCGAGGGTTCCACCTCAGGGAGTTTGAGAACCGCCGTTAAATTGCCGTCGTTCAAATGCTTGGAGCCAAAAGGCGATGAAGCCTCTTTGATGTCAACTGACTCGGCTCGACCGCCGGTTTAGTAAATCCGGTTCGAAGTAAATTGTCAGCAAGCAAATTTAAGACTTTTCATGGGCTATAGGAAAGGGGAACGTGTTTTTCATCATAGATTGGGCCCCCGCCTTGAATTAACAAGCCCAAAGTTGACTTTAAGTTTATTTTTTACTAGAAAAACATTTTTGTTTTTATTTTTTTGTTATATAAATGAAAAATTTTAAGGTTTTTTTTTTTTCTTTTTTTTGGTTTTAAAGATTTTGTGCATATCAATAGTTGATGACTTGATGTAACCAAAAAATCACTTGTAATTTTATTTATTTTTCTTTATTGGATAATGTCCAATGATGATGTCAGTGTGTGCATTTTTATTTAATTTTTTGATGTCGTTGTCTTGTGCAATTTTGGTAAAACAGAAATCTAAAAGGAAAAAGTAGAGGTGTCTGATTGGATTAACTTATATTTAGTTGTTTTTTTTATTTTTAAATAGTTTTTAGTTTTAGAGATATTTGAAAAGGTTATAAAGTATTTTTAAATACTTATTTTTAGACCAAATTTTTTTAATAATAAGTCAAAAGGCAAAAAGTTAGGATACTATCTATTTATGACTTTTAACTTATATATGTTAACTTTTTATAAAACCATCCAAACAGGTCCTGATATTGCTTTCCTTTTTCTTTATGTTTGTTGTTCAAGATGATTGATTTTGGTAATGATTTCTTATTGTGTTGTGGTTAGCTAAGACTGGTTCAAATTCAAATTAAGATTATGATTAGATGCGTAAGTCTTGCTTGATGATTGTGATCTATTTTAATTAATATTAGAGGTCTTAAACATTATTTTACAAATATAATTTAGACTAAAACATTTCCCATAGCTTAATAAAAATGGTATAGTCAAAGTCTCGTGCCCCACAGATTTGAGAGAAGACCTAAGACATTGATTTTGTAAATGAATATTTACAACTAAGTTTGGCATATTAATTAATGCAATTTAAATAGTAGTTTATAAAGGACATAAGAATTTAGTTGTGATTTTAAATTCATGGATTCTAAAAATTGATTTCTGAATAAAATATTTATACATATTAAATGAACTTTTTAATTACAAATATTGAGATATGTAATCTGAATGCTAGCTCCGTCCTTGTGAACACGGCATATCAAGTTTTTCGAATAAATAACAGCTATATTTTTTTGTTTATTCTTTTATGAGTGAGAACAAGAGAATATAAACTATTCGCATAAGTAGCCTTTGCTTGTAAGAACAATTGGTTAAAAGTTAAAGAGGACCAATTTTTAAGTATCATCAAAGTAATTATATAATGAGCGACCACGTTCTAAAGGTGAATTGTGACTTGTTTGAATGTCTCGACACTCATTTAATTTGAAGCAGCTTTTAAATTAAATAGCATTAATAATCTGATAAACACTATTAAACTTTATGCCTAAATGGTTTTTAAATGAATTTTAGGTCTAGACTCAACCTGAAAAATTAGCTTGAAAGGTGACACGATTAAAAATTGGATCAAAATCAACGGACTTGGTTGGATTTTTTAGGAAAACCAATGGAGTGTACAATACATTGTCCGAGTTAGAAATTTCATAAATAGCCACTAAAAAGAACTTAATTACGTTTCATAAGTATAGTTTGTTAATTACAATTTGTAGCTATATGTTAGAGGAAGGGAGAGGCAAGCGAGATTGAGAGAGGAAGGAGAGCGGAAAGCGAGAGAAGGCAGAGAATGGAGAGAGGTGAATTGTATTTGTATATCTATTGAATTGTATATGTATATCTTTTAGATAATTGTATATATGTAATTGGTATACATATGTATTTGTATATCTGGCGAGCGAGGTTGGGAGAGGGAGGAGAGAGGCGAGCGAGATTGGGAGAGGGAGGATAGAGGCGAGCGAGAAAGGGTAGAGAGTGGAGAGAGATAAATTGTATATATATGTCATATAATTATATATGTATATTTATAGTTTGTATTTGTACGTGTATAAGAGAGGAGAGAGGCGAGAAAGAGAAGAGAGGAAAGAGACACACATAATTATAGCTAAGAAAATGTTGTGAGTGGTAATTAATTCAAACTATAGATAGGTGAATATATGTTTGCTTATCCGCGTAATTTTTCTTTGTCGTTTTGATTTGGATTGATTAAAATTGAGAGACAGCTGAACAATCCATCGTTTTCAATCAATTAAAAACCAACATAGAATTTTCAAAATTTGTTTGTCTGAATCAGTAAATATACATAAATATACTCCCTATGTCTAACAATACTCATCCACTATTGACTCTGCACAACTCTTAAAAACTACTCCCTCTGTCCCTAATTACTTGTCCACTTTTGAATTGACACACCTATTAAGAAAACAATTAATGACATAATGAGTTTATCATTTTACCCCTATTAATTATGAAGTGGATGAAAAGTTCTACATTTTTCAAAGTAATTAGTCATTTAAATGAGTGTAAAATAGATTTTTAAAAAAAGAATTGTCCTTTCTTGATTTGTCAAAATGGACAAGTAATTAGGGACAACTATAAAAGGAAAAGTGGACAAGTAATTAGGGACAGAGGGAGTATAAATGGAAGGATAATTATACTATATCACTCTTTGAATATTAATAAATACAATGTCTTGAAAAATGTAATAGGAAAATGATTATAATTAATTACAAGGATAAAATAGTAATTAAGTGTAAAAATTATTCACTAATTTCATAAAGTGAATAAATATTGTTGGACATCCTAAAATGGTACAATTGACAACTATTGTTAGACGGATGGAGTAGCTGTTTAGAATCAAACTCGGACATTTACTATTGAATAATTCTACCACTCAATTTCACATGCTCTTTGATAAAATATTTACTATTATTTTTATTAATTATACTCTTCAATTATAATTTTATACTTCAAAAACCAACAATATCCCTATGTTTTTATATATATAAAAAAAAGTGAATGTCAATTTTCCCTCGATTTTTTGGATTGACTCTACACGTTGGTTTTCCTCTATCTATTTTTAGTAGTATGAGGATTGTCGAAGGCCCCAAACCATATAAAGAATTTTAGAAACTTATTAATTCCTCTATCTCTAATTGTTTGTCCATATTTTCTTTTATAGTTGTCTCTAATTACTTATCCATTTTTACAAATCAAGAAAGGACAATTTTTTTTACCTATTATACCCTTAATTAATTATTTTGAAAAATGTAGAACTTATTGAAAATCTTAAGTTTTAAATTCAACCACCTCATAATTAATAGGGGTAAAATGGTAAACTCACTATGTCAATTATTATTTTCTTAATAGGTATGTCAATTTAAAAATGAACAAGTAATTAGGGACAGATGAAGTATCTCCTTTGAACAACTTTATTTCAACATTATTTCACTAATCTTTTTGTCGTAATTATCATAGTCGGAAATGATAAAAAGGTGAAAATTCTTACTTTTCCCACAATTGATTTTATAGGTGATAGGCTGATAGCTACACCAAAATACCCTTATTTGTTCAAACTCCATAGCAAGCCACCAAAGCAATAATTCATGCATTTATGGTCCCCAAAAGGCAAAAGCTATTACTCCTACGATTAGAGGTTCTTGCGTGCAACCAGCTCATACTCCTACGATTCCATATTAACTTAATTTGTGATACAATGTATATTTATTAAGAAAACAATAATTTAAATTATATATTTTAATATTGTCTTTTGTAAAATCATTAATATAACTTTGTAAGTCGTGCAACTTATCTCTTAAAAAATACTCCCTCTGTCCAACAATAGTTGTCCAATATTGACTTGACACACTCCTCAAGAAACTATATTATTGAAAAATGTAATAGGGAAATGACTATAATTAATGATAAGAGTAAATTAAGAATTAAGTGTAAAGTTATCCATTGATTTCATAAAACGGACAAATATTGCTAGACATCTATTTTTAGTATAGTGGACAAGTATTGTTGGACGGGGAGTACCAAACTTCATTAAAGGAAAGAGTAAATATGAAAAAAATATCAAACATCCATCTTGAATTTTTTAACCCCCCCTACCCCCCCCCCCCCCAAAAAAAAAGATTTAGTTAATATGGAATAGAGGGAGTAACTTTTTACTCCCTCTCTGTCCAACAATACTTGTCTACTATTGACTCGACGAGTTAATATCTCTAAAGATCACTCAACTTAGAAAATTTATCTAGTAAAGTATTGAACTTTATTTTATATCAATAAAATCATTCAACTTACACCTTTGTATCAATAAAATCACCTAACTAATTTTATTATTAAAAAAATGGACATAGATAATTAAATTATCTAGATTTTTTTATGGATAAAATTTAATAAGTTAAAATTATGTTATGCTATTACTATATAATTAAAATATATTCTGATGAGCGTTTTCCAGAAAGACGTTGGCTTAATAACAAGAAGTATTAAATTGTTGCAGTCATTGAATTATAAAAAAAAATTTGATGTCTTAATAAAAAAAATTGTTGCAGTCATTAAGTCTATGATAATATCAGTAATACTAGATTCTTAAGGCCCGTGATACGGGCCCAATATAATCAATTATTAATCGTTATTTGACAAATATTAAAAGGTATTTCTATAGCATTCTGATCAACATTAATTAATATTGATCCTGGTAAAAAATTTAGTATTAAAAAATATCAAAAAATAACCATCAAAGAATATAGTGCATTGAATGGTGTTTCTCCTTCCTTAATTAAATATCATAATTTTGAGTTTTGGATATGAAAAAAATTCTTAATAGAGAGCTCTATATCCGAATGGGCAACTCCAATATAAATATGAAATACTGAATAAAAAATATTAAATTAAATTAACCCAATAATATTTTAAAGTATAATTGATATTAGCGATGGGTAGATTCATTTTTTAAGTTGTAAAACTCTGAAGTATAATATTCAATTTATTTATTTATTACTATAAGACACAAATTTAGTAGGATTCAG